GAACCAAATAACATTTTTTCTAGCTGTGTGGTATTTGAGAACATCATTCCAAAATCATTCCCAACTGTACTGTGTGTTCTGTATTCAGGTGCTGCCATCTAATCACTGAAATCTTGACTATACTTAGCTCATTGGAATTTCAGTTTCTTATGTCTGAGACAGGGATTAAAAACAGGTCTACATCACTGAAGTTGATGTAAGGGTTAATACATATAAAATAATGGGAGAGGCTGTGGATTTAGCTCAGCCGCATAAGCGCCTGCCTAGCAAGCATCAGGTCATGAGTTTGATCCCCGGTACTCCCCCCACAAAACAAGACAAAGGAATAAAATATGACAGTGCTTAGTACATAGTAGGTGTCAACAAGGTGAACAGAGAAATATAACTCTGCCCTGCGGTCACACGCCTGATGATTAAAGTAGCAAATTATCTAATGGCTTAAATTTTCTAATTTCTTTTTTTTTTTTTTTTTTTTTTTTTTTTGTCTTTTTCCTTTTTACCGGTACCAGGGATCGAACTCATGACTGCCTGCTTGCATGGCAGGCACTTATGCCACTGAGCTAAATCCCCAGCCCCAATTTTCTAATTTCTTAAGAAAGTGTCTCACTTTACTTTTCTCTGTACTTAGATTCTCCAAAACAGTTGATTTGCTCTGGCCCATTTGCTAAGGAATGTCTGACAAAAGTGCACTGTCTGATTCAGATGTAGTGATTGCTGCAGAAATTGGCTTTAGAATCTTCAGGGACTTCAGCAGCTGAACTGAGAAGACATCCTCTCAAGTACAGTGCTTCCAACACTTCTGAGTACTTTAAGCTCTCAACTACTACTTTTTCTTGAAGTACTTTCTTTAGTGAACTCTCAAAGGAGATTAATATTCCACACCATGGAGTTTTACTACCGACCTCCCGTGTCAGTTTAGTTTTTGTGTCCTCTTTTGGGCTCAGCTTCGCAGCAGTGTGACGGTGTGTGATTTTGCCAGTCAGCTGGCTCCTTTGCCTTTTCTTGGGCTCTTTTGTGGAGTGTCTGGTCCATGCTCTCGCTAACAGCAGTGTGGTATAGACACGGCTTCGGACTCCGGCTCCATCATGTGCTGGTCCTGTAACCACGGGACCATCATTGTGCCTCTCCGAGGCTTCACTTCCTCACTTTTAAAACAGGACATTAGTTGAAGAAATCTAATGTCTTTAGATTGGAAGGCACTGCTGTCTTTAAAAGCTTTGTAACCTTAGCAAGCAAGCAGGCACAGGAAGTGCCCATCCTCTCGCTATAACAAGGGTTTTTAGCCATTTGTGATTCCTGGTGCTGTTTTCATGTTCCTGGCCTTGTCAGAGAGCAAAGCCAGTACTTTACTGCTTGCCGTCTTCTGTCGGCTGGCACCTGTTTTATAAGGGACACGTTCTGCCATGTAGCTGTTTTCTGCCGTTTCTGTGCTTTGGCTCATTTGTGTAAGAGAGGTGGCTGCTGCAGTTTGAGAGTCCACTCTTGTCTGTCTGTCTGTCTGTCTGTAGTACTTCAGTGCCCACTTCCCTGCTGACTGTTCCTTGCACAAGTCCCACTGCCCATTCATATTCTCTCATAGAAGGAGGCTCGCTCAGAGAATGCTGCTGGGCAAATGGTGTGATGATCTTAATAATCTGAAAACTTCCTGCAGTATGTGTTTTCCATTATTGACAGTGGCATTGCAGCAGGATATATGGCTCTGGCAAGGGTTTGGTCAATTTCCCCTGCTCTCCAGGTAGCCCCTGTGTACTAATGAAGCCATGGAGCGTGTTCTGTGCGCAGTGGCTTATACCTGTGTCTGCTCAAGGGTCCTGGACAGGTCATCTCTATAATGACACTGATGTAACAGAACTATGCATAGCTGTGTACCAAACCCAACAAGTTCAAATGCTTCTTCCTCAGCATGGGCTCTTCTCCCACAAATTTTAAAAAATTGGTACACAGTGCTTTCCAGAATCAGTTTGTTTTTAAAAATAGAAATTGGAAACGTGTCTTCCAACCAACAGTTCAGGGGATGACTTTCAGCATGTAAAGGTTTCTACCTGCTGGAAGCTGGCCATACCATTTTACAAGACAGAAGGTTCCTTCAGTGGGAATAGACCACAAGAGGAGGGTTGCCAGATTAGCTATAGACAATTTTCTAGGTGCCTAGCTTGTTTTCTCTTTCCTGAAATAGGGGGGCAATTGTGTGAAAAGACTGAAGTTTGAGGGACTCTTTATGAAAAGACTTATGGGAGCTATGCCTCTAAAACCCAGAACTCAGATGCATTTAAATTTGTTTGTAAGAAAAAGTCACATTCCTTTTCCTGTTTTATGATTAAGACCACAAAGTCAGGAGAAACTTGGCAGGTTCAAAACCTCCACATCTTCCCTAACTCTCCTGTGCTGGGCATTTTTAGACCATAAGTGTCAAACTATTGATCTCCTTAGGAATCGAAAGAACCATGTAGTGCTTCCCTGCAGTCCCAGCTACTCAGAAGGCTGAGGCAGGAGGCTCACTTGACCTAGGCATTTGAAGCTAGCCTGAGCAACACAGTGACAGCTGCATCTCACAAAAACCCAAAATGTTGTCATTGCCCACTTTGGGTCCACCACACTGAGAGATCATCAGAAAATGTGCACTTTTTATTGTCAACAGAAGAACTGACAAAAAAAAATCAAAGACAGGTTCTTCGATCTCATAGTCAGAAGTGATCTTTTGTTTGGCTGTCCTACTTTGTTGCTGAGTTTTAGGGAATGTAAAATTTCTAGCTACTTTGGACAGGTATAGAGGAAAATCATTTTGCTGCATGTTAAAGCTAAGTGACAACACAGTCTTTCACTGTAGATCTTTTGCCTGCCTATAAAAATTCATAAAATACTGTATAGTTTAAATTGGTGTCAAAGAAAAAGCAGCTTGATTTACATGCCATCCCAGTTTTACCTTTTAGTGAGAGATCAACATTTATGAAACAATTAAAAAACAATTATAACCCTGTAGGAATTGGCTGTAAGTGCAATGGAGAGACAGAGAATTAATCAACAAGTGTTCACTGAATATATACCATGTTCTCATCTATGCAGGATAGAGCCAAAGACAGGTCCTGCCCTTGGGTTGCCTACAAAGAAACAAACCATGATGTGAACAGCAGGGCTGATTATGCACTACACTGGCATGGTACATGAGCTCAGATGCTATATAGAAAAATTAAAAGGAAGTTTCCTAATAAGTAGGACAGTAGCAATCTTGAGGCTTGAGCTGGAAGAAGAGGGAAAGGTTACAGTGAAGCACAGGGCGTTTAGGACACACAGATTAAAGGGTCAGTGAAACCAGGCAGGGTAAGAATCAGAGCTGAAAAAGTTGAATGGAGAGTTCTGAAAGCCTGTAGAGGTTTGATTCAGACTACAGTCTCTGGAAAGTCAGTGATGATTTTTGAAGGGAAATAGTGCAATAAGAGCCAAGAACTACCCAAGCAGTCACATCTGGATGGACAAAAGGGAAAAGAAAAGGAAAGTCCTTGAGGTGAGCCAAGGTTAGGTACCTGGATGCTGAGTTATGAAGGTGATAAAGGAAATGGAAACCAGGCAGATGTAGAAGACTTGGCTACAAAATCAACAACACTGATGGCGAGCTTCCTATGGGGGGCACTGTCAAGATTCCCAAGGTTATTGGTCTTTTAGTCTTCAAAGACCTAGTAGAAATGAGCAGGTAGAAATGAATCTGCCTTGATTTGATTAGGTTTGAGGTACAGTGGAACAGCTAATGAGAATGTTCAGCAGGCAGCTGAAGACGCAAAGGCCTCTGCTGTAGCTGTGTTGTACACTTGGAGAAGGATGAATCATTCCAATGTGTCACAGTAGGGATGAGAAAACCATACATTTCAGGAAGGCAGGAGGTGAGGTCACCGACAAGGGAAGAGTGTTGGAGAGGGCAGTCCAACAGTCATAGCGATGATGAGCAGGGCCTGGCTGAGGAGAAGCAAACTGGGAGGGTGTGGAGAGTTGTTTGACTTCCTCCAGCCACACACTGTCTTCAGGGCTGGAAGAGGCATGAGAGGAGTGGTGCGGTGGCCAGCAGCTGACTAGGCTGAGGAGGATCTGCAGGGGACCCACAGGCCCCCGGCAGGATGGAGTAGTCTGCCATGTGCAAGTGCAGGAGAGGGGAAAGAGCAAATATTGTCACTAAAAGATGCAGCCTGCTTAAACATTGCAAAGGGAGATGCTGTCCCCTCCACAGCCATGGAGGGAGCAGGAAGGGAAGGGAAGCCAGTTGGTCAGCTGAGGACCGGGGAGTGTCTGCACATGAGAGGCACCTCCCCAGTTCTACTCACTGTGCCTTCTGCAGGAAGGACACTATCGAGGAAGGCCCTGCCTCCCACACTCCAGAATTCCAGCAGCTGCTAGAAGCAGGAGGGTGGAGTCTGCTTACTGGAACTTGATCTGATCCACTTGCATTGTTGGCTCAAAGCTCCTGATTCACTTCAGGAATGGTTTTTTGCCATTTAAATGCCATAAACATTAACTGCAAAATAGCTCACTGGCCCCGCACACCTGCCAGGCCCAGTACCTGCAGCTTCCCTCAGAGAAGATAGGGCATCCTCATCAGTCCCTGGAGTGATGGTAAGCCTGAAGGCAAGATAAGGTGTCAGGGAGTGGGGAGGTTAGCAAGACAAGAAGAGGTCCATTTGGCTACAGGAGAGACCATAGCAGAATACCTTGCAAAGGAGTAGTAAAATCAGGTCAGCTCTGCCCCCTTCCATCTGGGTTTGCAATGCAGAGACACAGACTAGGGCAGGACACACAGATACTCAGACACAAAGAAGTGCACAGAACTTCGCTGTACACACACAGCTGATGTAGACATAGGTATCTGGGCAACATGCGGGGGACCCAGCCATAGGCACTTCCAGTCCTGCTTGTCCAGGAGCACTGAGCTCCTTCTGCTCCAGGAGTGTCCTGGTGTGAGCATAGCTGAGCCTTTGTCTTCCAGCCCTCACTCCTTCCCCTTTGTGTTTTTCCAGGTCGTGACATGGCCAGCACCACTCTGCCTGGTTACCCCCCTCATGTGCCCCCTACTGGCCAGGGAAGCTACCCCACTTCCACCCTGGCAGGCATGGTTCCTGGTAGGTAACAAAGCTGCTACTGCCTGAGATGGTACAGTGGGTGTGCTTGAGTGCTCTGTAGTTGGGAATGGAGTGGAGGACCCAGACCAGCTCCCTGCAAACTCCCTGTCCATTGGTTCTTCTCATTGCCTAGAGGCTGCAATGGCCCCTCATCCTCCCTCATGAACAACTCAGACAGGAAGCTTGCAGAAGTGCCCTTCACTTTACATCGTGGCCCCTCCCCAGCGCCCACACCCCAGGAGTACTGGCTCAGCCCATCCTCTGCTCCAGCCAGCTCCAGCCAGCTGACTCCACTTAGAAGAGCCTGCCCTTGTTTCCATGGAAACTTGGAGCCAAGAACCATTTCCAGGGCCATGTTATTCAGTCAAACAAAGCCACCCCGGGCCACACCAACCACAGGGAAGACCAGTGTGGAGGACCAACCCAGTTCAGAGAGAGGAGGGAGCAAGTCCCTTAGAGAACAGGGACAAGCTATGGCAGGGGCCAGAGAGGTTGACTTCAGAGAGCTGAGCTAGAGCATCCCCATATTGCTCCCAAGGACCTAGGCCCTTGCTGCTCTTCTAGGGCCCTTGCCAGGGAGGTGTGGTATCTGTGTTGTTCAAATCAGAGAAGCAGAGGCTGCTGCCTGAGGCTGGAATACACTGTCTTAGCCCTCTCTCAGACTGGGAGCAGGACTTGAAGCCAGAGACCCAAAAAATAGCTGCAGAAACCCCAAAAATTTTGTCTTAAACAGGGTAAGAATCAACCCAGCCTACAACCCCAGTGCCTCTAGAGATGGTCTTGTGTGCTCTGTCCCTGAAGTTCAACTGTCATTGGTAGTGGGAGACAAGGCTGATTGGCTGCCCCTACCCAAAGACAGCTCTGAGTAAACAGAGCTTAGGGTGCTGGGAGTGGGGCAGGGTGTTAGGAAAGGGGGCAGAAAGAAATGGGAGGTGTGAATGGAAGGAGTTCTGCCCCGACTTGGGGAAGTAGAAACATTGTTGAAGGGCAGACTCTTGGGGGAAGGGTGCAGCATCTAGCAGGTGGAGGCTGGAGGAGGTCTTGGGGGACAGGGAAAATGGGGAGGTGGGTGTGGGGAGTTTGCAGGGAGGTGGGGATGAGGGAAACTGCAGAGAGCTCATGATGGCACGGGGGGAGTCGTTAAACAGAATCTAGTGCTGATGAGGAAATTACACTTGTTTCATTAGCGATGGGGAAGGAGATAGCTCAGTTCCTCTTGGTCACAGTTGAGCTCAGAAGCTCATTATCCTGCTGCACGCATGCTTTCCCTCCTCGTCAATAAACAGGCTTTCCAGTGGCTGCATCCCCCACCCCCACTCAGCTCCCTCTCAGAGAGGGGCCCTTCTCCTCTACTTAACCCGCGGTTAGGGATCACTGTAAACAGTCTGGGGTCACCACACAGGAGAAAGGGCGAGGGGAAACCTGGAGGCCTGGACTTTCTGCAGGAGGTGGGGAGAACGCTACCAATCGCTCCAGGCCCAGGGGCTCCCCTCTGGGACCGGACGCGCGCGCAGTCAGTAGGTCCCTTTGCTTTCTGCATGCCCTCCCCTGCAGCGTGGCCCACGCGTCTGAACTCCGGTGAGAGGCAGCGCATCCCACACCTCGCATTGGCACCGCGCGATGACGCTGTTCTTGGGGTTTCTGGGACAAAATGTCTCAAGGGTGGCCTTTTTGGGCTACCTTTCCTGGTCCCACCCTGTGTGGCGATGGCTACTAAAACCACAGTGTCCACCACAAAAGCCCGAATGATCAGGGGTAGATGCCCTCGGACCAGAATGAACCCTTCCCGGAGGGCCAAAGGGCGTTGCTCCGGAGCCAGGCGCGCGAGCCATCCCCGACCATCCCTTCGAGTGCGAGACAGACGTGGCGCCCCCAGCCTTCCCGCCTCTGAGCGGACCCGCGCGCCGCTCGACCTCTGCCCAGCTGGTGGCAGCCAGGCGGTGGCATTTGCCTCAGTTGCGGACGGCGTGGAGCGTGCAGCCCAGCGCACAAGCTGACGCCACCCCGCCCTCCGCAGGCAGCGAGTTCTCCGGCAACCCGTACAGCCACCCCCAGTACACCGCCTACAACGAGGCCTGGAGATTCAGCAACCCCGCCTTACTAAGTGAGTCCCCGCGCGGCCCAGGGCGGCCTGGCCTCCGGGCCCAGGGACGGGCTGGCTCGCGCGCCGCAGAGGCTCGGCTGCTCCTAAGGACGCACACTCTCCCCTGTCCCCGGCCGCCCGCGGACCCCCGAGGGGACTCCCGGCCCGGGCCCCATCGCTCCTACTCGTGCCCGCGGTCTCCTCCCCACGCGCCCGACCCCGGCCCGACCCGCTGGACCCGCTGGGGAGGGCGCGGCCGGCTGTCTCTCCTCCTTGGTTCTCCTTTGTCCTCTCACCCAGCCCATTCTTCTCCTGTGTTAACTTCCAGGTTCCCCTTATTATTATAGTGCCGCCCCCCGGGGCTCCGCCCCTGCCGCTGCTGCCGCTGCCTATGACCGCCACTAGTCACCGCGCGGACCACGTCCGGCTCCAGGCCGACGGCTTCGGCCTGCACATCGTCCCCGTGTGACCGCCGCCGAGGAGCGCCCCCGCCCGGACCCCGCGCCCCGCGCCCGGCCGGCGGGACCGATGGGACCGAAGGCGCCACCCTCAGGCCCGGCTGCGCCGCCCCGCGGGGCGCCTCTGTGACACACAATCAGCGCGGCCGGGCGCGGGGCTGCGCCGCGGGGCCGCAGGGGGCACAGGGACGCGGCCACCGTCCGCAGGCAGGGACCCCGCTGCGCCCTACCTCAGCGTCCTGCCCTCCGGCTCCCCCGCGCCCGCCCCGCTCCCCGGCGCCCGCCCGGCGGGGACTGAGCGAACCGCGGAGGGCTGCGCTGGAGCCCGCCAGGGGTGCGCCCGCGCGGAGCCGGAGAGTCGCGGCTTGCGGGAGGGGACTCAGCTGCACCCCACTTCAAGCACAGCAAGATCGCGGGCAGGGGCGTTTTTTACGTTACAAAAAATTAAGAAAGAAATCTCTATGCAAAATGACGAACGTGGTCCCGTGGACCCCGCCCGCCCGTTCCGTTGGCCCTTCCTCTGTAATTCCGCGGTTTCGCTCTGCTCCCCGCACCCCTCTCCCTGAGCCCCGCGCCTGGCTGCCCGGCCCGGCCGCCGGGAGCCGCGCCCCCGCCCCGTAGTTGCCCTCGGTAGCGGCGATGCGCCCTGCATGTCTCCTCACCCGTGGATCGTGACGACTCGAAATAACAGAAACAAAGTCAAAGTGAAAATAATAATAATAAATAAAAGTCCTTGAGCAAATCCGAAAAGGTGTGGAGTCCTCTCCCGGATTTCTCTGCCTTTCGAGCCTTTGTATTTGAAGTGGGGGAGGAGGGACCCGCGGCACGCGCAAAGGGTGCCGAGGCTCAGGCCCTGGCCCCGCCGGCCCAGCCCTGCGGCCTGATGCCCTTGGTCACCGTAGCCACTTTCAGCGCGTCGGTTCGTTTTCTTTTTTCTTTTCTTTTTGTGCACACGAGAAATAAAATAATAATAATAATAATAAAATTTTGTATGTCACTCCCCACGACTCCAGGGTTGTCTCTACCTCTCTGGCACTGGTCTTTCCTTACACTGGTTGATCCCCAATAATCCTTTCCACTATGTCAACTGCACTCCTCTTGTTACCCAAGCCAGTGGTGATGGAGACCCCACTTCCGCACAGGGGCACCCCGCCCCAGCCCTTGCCCTGCCCACCCTCCTTGGCCAGAAGCTCTGCGCTCTCCAACTCCAATGCCTGGCTCGTGGGCTCTCTGTCTCTGTCTCTGTCTCCTTCTCTCTGTCCGGGCGGTCAGCAGTCCCCAAGCCCATGAGGTTGCTTTCCACCCTGCCCAGGAGGCTGCAGTTTGTACTGTGCAGTTTACTTCCAGAGGGAGGATGCTGGCCTGACTCAACGGCACCGGATCTGGTTCAAGGGGCGTAGCAGCAGCCCTGAGTCTGGCAGAGTTCCAGCTGTTTTGTGCCTAGATGACAGCAAAGGATCTGTGTGTCCTCAGCCCTTGTGTGTCTCTGTTCCTGCTAGGGGAAAGGATGCCAAGATGCCCACAGTGGAGCTGCTGCTGACCAGAGATGCTCAGACCCTCCCTCTCTTGTCCTCCCTAGCAGCCTCAGCCCTGGGCAGCACCCTCCCTCTCTGGCCAACGGAAGCCCCAGCTTCCTCCCTCTCAGCACCCTTGGAGTCCTTCTTTTTCAGCTTGGAAAGCCTCCCTGCTTGGCACTCATCCCCTCTCACCTGACAGACCCTGGCCTTCTAGGAAAGCCCTCCCCCAGGGGCCTGGGGCAACTTCAGAATGACCTTTCCCTTTGGCTGGGGCAGTGTCTCCTGACACCTACTTCCCACCAGGGCCCAAAGGCCTTGCCCCAAGCTGGTGTGCCCAGCCTCTTCCCTTTTCCATTCTACATCCCAGTGAATGGTAATCCCACCTTCCAGCTTCCCTGGTGTCAGCCCTCTAGAGAGGAGTCTTCAGGTTTCCTTGGTCATATGTTCTGTCACCAGAGGATTATGAATTTATATACTCATTCATACACACACACACACACACATTCCATACATGTACTGCTGGACTGACATGAATCTTATAGAGAATATAATTGGACTCCATAGGAATTAGAACTTCTGTTCTCATGATCTCTTCTCACACTCATATGGATTATACTGTGCCCCCTGGAACATGTGCACCCCACTTTGGAATCCTGTTCAGAACTCACAAAAATCTAGGCTGGCAAAACTGGTGGTTCTCTGTGTGCTGTCCAGCAGGGAAGCTCCTGAAAGCTGCCAGGGCACTGCGCTGGCCCAGGGCACTCCACTGAGTGCTGCCCTTGTTACATACAGCAGGTTCTTGGCCCCTTGTGCCTAGCTTTGCCTCCAAGTCCGCCAGACAGTCTTTTCCTGCCCAGTCCACCAAACTGGGAGCCATACCACTTATGTGCCCCCCAACCTCTTTCTGTCTAGTCTCCCTCCTACTGAAGTGGATGGCAAGGGCTGCACCATTTGTAGTAGTGACCACTGCAAAGAACCCTTCAAGCTGGGTGCTTCTTGGGGGACTTGTTTCAGCTTGGATCAGCCTGCAGACCTCCCCAACCTGTGCCTGTGTCCCCTCCGACCACAACTTCTTCTCCCATCCTAGCAACACAAAGGCCTGTTTCCTAGTTTCTGTTCACTTTCCCCAGATTTGTCTGGATTCTGCTATTCTGTTCTGCTTCCCACAGAGTCCCTGGCTGAGGTATACTAAGTATGACAGCTCAGAAGACATGGCAGGGGACAATAGTAGTAAAGGTGTAGAAACAGGCCAGATAAAGTGCAGTGCCTGGGGAAGGATGGCGATGGGAGACGGGTGGGAGGAGAAGGTCAAGTTGTGGCTAAGACACTGTTGCAGGAAGACTGTCCCAACTCTGCCACTCAGCTGCTCTAAGAAAGGCCTCCCACCCGTAGTCACCTCCTGCCCATAGAAACTAGTTTGAACCAGTGACTGTGTCACCAATTCAGAACTGGACTTGTGCATAAGTCCATGATGAACCAATCCACCCTCCTTTTTCATGAAACAGAAGTAGGAAATGTAGAGACATTGAGGCCATTCCCCAGAGAGGTACTGTCCCAAGATCTTGGAGAGTTCCCCGGTTGTCCTTATATACTGAGGGGGAGCTCCGTTACCTGAGACTTGAGCCCTAAACCCAAGTCTTCTCAACTCCTCCTCACTTTTGCATCTCATGTCTAACCCATTGGCAAAACCAGACTCTTCCACCTTTAAATCAGATCCAAAATATCACCTCTTCTTCCTCACTGCACCACGCAATCCCTTTCCAGGCCACTGTGGTCCTTTACCTGGACTTGCAAAAAAAAAAAAACAGTGCCAATTGGTCTTCTGCTTCCACCTTTGTCTCCTTCCAGACACCAAAGTGGTCCTCCCAGATGTGGAGCTGCTCACAGAGCCCACAGAGAGCTCCTTGCTCCCCTCAAAGTCAAGGCTCAAACCCTGAGACTTGCTGCCAGGTTCTCCCTGCCGCGGTGTCCACCTGCACTCCCAGCTCCACGACTACCTGGGCTCTCCCCGTTGTCTCCCTCTGTGCTGTTCTCTGAGCCTGCTGTCCTTCGGGCTGTGCCTGAGTCACACCAAGCGTGTCACTTCTGAGAACACTGGACCTGCGGTGCCATGTGCCCCTGCACAAGCATGGGATTGCCTTTCTTTTCCTTTAGGTCTCTACCCCAGTGTTTCCCACCAGAGAGGCCTTCCTCAGCCTCTGAAATAAAATAGCTCACATAGCCACCGCTCTCTAACCTCTTCCTGTGCTGGTCAGAGGTGACTTGTTCCATTGTACTCTCATCCAGTCCTCCTGCCGCAATGGGTGCTTAGAGGGATGCATTTTGCTGTTCTGACTGCTGCGCCCCCATGCCTGGGATGGCCCTCAGCATACAGTGGGTATTCAGCATGCATGCCATGGGTGCACGAGCAGAAGGAGGAGTGATGAAGAAGAGGAGGAGTAAGCAGAAGCCTGGGGCAGGGACAGAGGTAAGGGACACTGACACGCTAAGTCCTGTGAGGAAGAAGTAGCTGAGTTGCTGAGATGCTGTTCTGCTGCCCCTGCAGCCCAGTGGCTTGAGATCTGTAAACCCTGAGCTCCTGGAATTACTTCCAACAGCACCTGGAGGCTCTTTCCTTCCCAGCCAAACCATCAGCCAGAATTCTTCCCCTTCTTTGCAGAGCTGGTGGGAGTCAGTCCTGGCCACACGTAGGAGCCTGCATCTGGCCAATAAGGACCCCAAATTAGACACAGTGGGGTGCTAATGGGTGCCAGAAGAGAGCAGGTCTCTTTATTTTTATTTGGGCTGTGAGCTGCAATGATGAGGGCTGAGGACTCCTAAAGACTCACCCCCTGCATGGAGGCGTCTGCCTGCAAGGAAAGTCACTGGGAGGCAGGTGGAGACCAGCAGAGGAGAGAAAAAAGGGAGAGCAAGCTTGGCAGTATCTTTGGGGCCTCTTTGGCTGGGTAGACCTGAAGAGCTATTTTTGGATTTTTCGGGATCAGAAGCCAATATACCAATATATCTTCTCTTTTTTGATTTAAGTAAATGTTTTGTGTGTCTGACACTCACCAGCAAAGTTCTGATCTGAACCATTCTGAGAGCTCAAATGCCCGTTAAGTAAGGGCTTTGGTGATTTGTTTTATTTTGTTTTATCTATAAGTAATGAGAACTAAAAATCTTATGCAAAAGAGAGCAGCTTAATGCTCTGCATTTCTGGAAGCACACTCTGCCCATAATTTGAGGCCAGGAGTCCGAGCAGAGACAGTAGAGCAGGGAGGATTGCACCTGGCCACCACCAAGGTCCACCCAGATGATGGCAGTCCGACAGACAGCTGGATCAGCTCCAGAAGGAAACAGGTGTGGAAACATGGCAAGGTTCTATTTTTAAGTAAAAAAATAAAGTGAAGAGTAGAGGGCACATTGTGCGAGAAAGAGGGAAATTAAGAATTTCTTCACGTTTGCACGTGTATACATGGACAGAAAGGTAAGCAGCAATCTAATAAAAGTCATCTCGGAGCAGGAGCAGGGTGGGTAGGAACAGCAAGAGGGAGATTTCTATAAGTGTGTTTTAAAAAGAATATAACTTTGACTGTATTGAAAGTAAGTTTCAATACAGTCTCTAAAAAGTAAAGAGAAAGCTAGATTGTTGACACATAGAAGCACACGTGTTTCACAAATAAACCAGGTTGTCATGCTTTGGGTTTTGTGGTGGAAGGAGAGGCCGTTGGGTTTGGGGCCAGTGGACACTGGTGACCTCCAAACTGGGCTTTCAGAGGGTCACGGAAGGCCGCTGGCCTCAGGGTGTGGCAAGCAGAGAAGGTGGTGCAGATGGCTCTTTTGAAAGTGGGAAGAGAAGGGTCAGGAGCATGGTCCGTGTGCTTCGGAGACATGCTCCAGGCCAAGGGCTGTGCTATGTGGACAAGCCTGTGGCTGAGGCTGCAGCAGGACACAGGAGGATGAAGAGAGGCTGCTGAGATGTGGACACCAGGGTCTTGTGAAAGAGGCATGAAAGAATGAGGTAGAGGCATAAGGCTAAGGGTGAGGAGGAGCGAGGAGCCCTACTAGGGACAGATCACAAGGCAGGGGCACCTGGGCTGCACTGGGGAGACTGCAGGAGGCACAGCTGCCGTCCTGCCTTGGCGGAGACAGGACTTCGGAGATTGTCTCCTAGGGATTCAAAAAGACAAGTGTGAGGGCAGAAGAAGGTGCTGCTGGGCAACAGAGGGAGGACATGAGCTGGGCAGATCCTAG